GAGGGAGTATCACATCTCACCTAAAATGAACCTTGTTAAGTTTTTAAATGAGCAAACAAAAACATCTCTCCTACCTCTCCACTTTCCTTTGCAAGTGTATGAACGGAGGAAAAAAATGGAAAAAGCCGGAAAAAAACAGAGATTTGGCATCCCTGTTTAAAAGTGTTACAAATAGAGAGTTCGATTTTTGAAAAGGTGTTTTTACTCCCAGATCGACACAATTTAGATTATCTAAGAGGCAGGCTTCAACCTGTGTAAGTGAGAAGAACAATTAAATACCCAATAACTTTGCGGTTTTTTTAAACCTCCACAATGTGGATTGAAACTAATTTTTGAACAGCTTAATCAGATCTCTGCTAAATTATAGTTTACCTCTTTTTAGGGCTAGATCTAAATCTATAACATCCAGTGGGACGTCGTGGGCGCGGCAATCAGGGTCAAGTTCGAGGGTGGAATACACCTCAAAATCTACTTTGTGCTATTGGTGTATTTCCTAACTACATGCATTTACAAAAACTACATTCGCTTTCTAACATAAATGCCAAATTTCCTTAAAATCGTAGAGAAAATGTAAGAAATATAGCACTTCGAACTATACGCACTGACTTCCGACACATATGGCGCGGCAGCCCCAGGACTGGTAGAGAGTCCGTGGGGGTACGGCTAGGATAAAAAGAGTTAAAAGAATAAGAAATGGAAGGGTCATAAAGTGCAAATGTTTTTTGCCTCTCCTAAACAAATTGCCTCGCTATATGGACAGGATCATTCATCATTTTCCCTTAAGACGGCAGTTCAGGTACAGTAAAAAGTAAAGTTGTTCCATATCCGATCCGGACATAGGGGATTGCCTTGTTAGTGAGACAACTTCCTGGGCCTTCGGCATATTGTTGTAGGGTGGCCAGTTCCGTTCCACGCCGCCTTTACTTCTCCAACTCGAAATCAGGTACCCATTACTGCTGGGCGGGCAGGAGAGGGAGGAAAAAATATGTGTCATGTACAGTACAAGAGAAGAAATCCTCACCATAGACAAAGAGCGACATCGTTCTGCTGTCGGTTCCCACGCTGGATTCCGCCCGGCACTCGTATAGACCTGAGTCTGAGCTCTCCGCCCTCTCAATCACCACTGAGCCAAGGGCTGGGGTTCGAATCCTCCCATCCAGCGATGGTCTCACCACTTTCCCTTGATGTACCCATTGCATAGAAGGGGAAGGAATTCCAGAAGCTGTACACCCAAATGAGATTTCTTGTCCTTGTCGGACAGCAGTGGTGGGGAACTGGACTTCTTCAATCTTTGGAGGGACTGGAGAATGAAGAAAAAATGATAGTTACAGGAGAAGGCACAAAAAAACCAAAAAACTGGACAGTTACAGGAGAAGGTAGAAAAAAAGAGTTACAGGAGAATGAAAAAAAAGACAGCAAATAAAAGAGAGAGCAAAGTAAAAAAGACAGAAAACAAAAAAAAAAACAGTTACAAGAGAATGAAAAAAAAAAGACAGCAAATTTTACAAAACAGATACAGGAGAATGCAAAAAAAATTTTTTTAAATCGACAGTTACAGGAGAATTTTTTAAACACAGTTACAAGGAAATCAAAAGCAAAAAATAACCTTCAGTCCAACCTTTCACATACTCTTCATCTAACATTTTTCTGACAATAGCCACCTTCAGAACAACAGAGGCGAAACATCAAGATGCATAGTTCTGAGAACATGGGATTCAAAGACTCACACACTTATTTATATGGCAAAATTCTTTTTAACACCTTATTCGTTAAGTGTAAAGTCAGTATCGCATTACACTTAACATAGTGACAGAGTGAGCAATGAATTTAGACTCAAGTAATGTCAAGCAGAGGTCGGTGACACAGAGTTTAGCTGGGTAGTCACTGGGGTGTGTCCTTGAGCAAGACACGACAACCCTAACTCAAAATACAGGGCGCTGCACAGTGGCAACCGACAATGGCATGGTTGTAAATTGCTCTGTACTGGTGTAATATTGGTATTAATGTATGTATTCGTGCATGTATTTTGTTTGTATGCATTCATAATTATGTATTTATGTATGTATGTAATTATGTATTTATGTATGTATGTAAGTATGCATGTTGGCCATTGTAAACCAAATTGCCCTTCTGGGATCAATAAAAGTGTAATTATTATTTTTAAATATTTTTTTAGACACAGTCTGCAGGGCAACTGCATCAGTTATGCCTTACTTTTATAAGAAACGGAGCTCAAAATTTTTCCATCCTTACCCATAAGACGGACAAAAGCAGAAGCCGTCGCAGTTCCCTCTGAACTGTCTGCCACACACTCAAACTGACCGACCTGAGCCCATCCCAGGCTTGATATGGTCAGTTTATGATTCTCCTCCGAGGCATCAACGTCTTGCGGCAGCACAGAGCTTCCCTGGAATAATCAGGGGAAAATATCTGTTTTCAATATGTGAAGCGAGCTGACAAAATGAGTTACTTCTCAGATGCCTTAAGGAAATAGATACACCACGCTAATAGGCGAAGTTTTTAGAATTCATAAGTATGAAGTAGTGGAAGACAGGTTAAGGTTTAAGAAAAAGGCATCAATGGAAAATCTACAAATTTGACCCCAATGTCGATTTTTGGCCAATATCTCCATTTGCAGATTGTGAGATGTCACTCATTTTGTCAGCACACTTCACATATAATGCGCAGAAGTGGTGCTCACTTACCTTTCATAATATCTCCAACATGACACATGCTACTTGCTCAAGAGTTTATTCTGAGCTGAGCTGCCGTGATTCGTGAGTGATCACTTGAAAAACACTTCTTAAATGGTCACGTGATACACACAGATATAAAGGACATAACTCGCATAATACACCGATATTTTATTTTAGTAGTAGAGGTTTTACAGTGCTCGCAACTGCATAAGGTTATATGAGTATTATGAGGACCAAGGGGTGGATGTCAATAGAGAAGTCATTACAGGGAATCAGACTTACTCTGCTCATCTCTCTGGCTTCAACAGCACAAAGTCTGCTTCGACTATCAAGGCACCCCGGAGATAATGGGTCACAAGAGTGACAAACATACAAAACATGTAGAGGAAAAATGACAATAGTAAGGATTAGGAAAGAAAAAGCAGGAGTTCCCTGTTGTAGATCAGGCACAGTTATCAGCATGACATTGATGAATCAGCCCATTTACAATTCTACAGTTCATGAACGAGAAATGTCCCCCCTTTGGGAATGGCCTAAAGACACTTCAGTCAGAGCAGTTAGTCTCTCTTAACAATACACCTTTGAGCTCTGCGGTAAAAGGGAAAAAAAAGAGCACATGAACAGAGTGGGGACAAATGTCAGGAAAAGTGAAATTACTTATATATATATATATATATCGCTACCCTAGAATTACAAAGTTCTATCTGCTCGGTACTCAGTTTTGAGAAATATGACGTTAAAGATTTGAGTTTCACAACATGTCAAGCTTTTTCGAATGCAATTCTTTGAATATCTTTAACAATGACTCCAAATAATCTTACAATTTTGAAAGCGCAGATAGAACATTTGCTTTCTGACCTCATAGTCTTAGTAACTCAAGACAGCCAATAATGTCAGATAGAACTCTGTAATTCTAAGGACCTCCAAGCAAATATTGAGTTCCTGCGTGATGTCGGCATCGCTGACCACTTATTATGTCACAGTGCCAGAAGGAAGAAAGAGAGAGAGAGAGAGAGGGAGAGAGAGAGAGAGAGAGAGAGAGAGAGAGAGAGGGGGGGGGAGGGAGAGAGGGAGAGAGAGAGAGAGGGAGGGAGGGAGAGAGAAAGAGAGAGAGAGAGAGAGAGAGAGAGAGAGAGAGAGAGAGAGAGAGAGAGAGAGAGTAAACAGTAAACATTTTGAAACCAGCAAAGTTTATTTTGTTTGTTTTAGTAAGGTTTTACTGCGCTCACAACTGCATTAGGTCATATGAGCGCAAAGGGGTGGATGTCAACAGAGAAGTCCTTACAAGGAATCGGGCTTACTCTGCTCACCTCTCTAGCTTCAACAGCACAAAGTCTGCTTCGACTATCAAAGCATCCCGGAAATAGTAGTTCACAAGTGAGTGACAAACATACAAAAGAAGTAGAGGAAAAAGACAATAATAAGGATGAGGAAAGAAAAAGCAGCAGTTCGCCCTGCATTGTCCCGGCACAGTATGAGCATGACATTGATAAACAGCCCATTTACAATTCTACTATGAATAAGAACATGTTAATATCACCCCTTTGGGAACAGCAAAGTCGAACGTCAGCACTCACGTTGTACAACCAGTGGATGGAAGGAACTGGATGACCTTTGACATCACACTCTAGGGTCAGCCTTGACCCAATGACCTCTGTCACATCAGCAGGCCCCAGCACTATGACAGGCGCCACTGTGAAAGTAGAAAGAAAAATTAGGTTAGTTTTAGTTTTAGTTTTAGTTGGTGTTTTACGGCACTTGCAACACAATAAGGTCATAAAAGTGCCGAAGATTACAGGTGTTAGAGGAGAGTAACAAACACAAAAAAGAAAAAGGGGAGATTAAGACGATAGATGTTTGATAGGAAAGAAGAAGCAAACCACACCAGAGCACCCGCCAACCACCCACAACATGAGGTTAGGAGCATGAAATAACAAAGAGACCTTGTGATGAAAACAGACGACAGAATATGATCAGAGAGCAGGAAAGAAGGTGAGAGAATAACATTTTAGAGAAAAAAAAATGTTCCCCTCGCTCTCAGGTTTCGAACCTGGGACTTACTGAATGAGAGGCGAACACCATAACCTCTAAACCACCGGAGCCCCCCCCCCCAACATATACATTGTCACTGAACATTGCCAAGAACGGACAACAGAACTATGTGTCTCGACTCTGAATTTCTTTAAAAAAGGAACTTTCTGATCTGGCAGCTAATTTCAAGTAAAAGAGTCACCAAATGTGGGGCGTGGTGACAAAATGAGTTATTTCCCGCAATCCATAAATCGACAAATTGGCCAAAAGTCGACACTAGGGTCAAATTTGTAGAATTTCTATTGATACCATGTTCTTAAACTATAACATTCCTTTTACTATTTCACTTTTACAAATTGTAAAAGCTTCCTGATAAGTGTGATGTATATATTTCCATCAGGCTTGAAGCCGAAAAGTATCTCATTTTGTCAGCACACTTCACAAATATATTTACAATCTTGATCATGTACAGAAAGTGGTGGGGCCTTACTGAGAAGAGCCCCTCCCAGCAGCTCTCTCTCTCTCTGATTGGCCCGCTGTCGCGGTAGCGGAGTTTAGCGGAGGAAATGGCGGTAGCGAAAATCCACTAAATAGCGGAATATTGAGACCCCTGCAGAACCCACTTTCTTCACTGACCATTGACAATGAGCTTGCCCTCGGAGGAGGTCTGACCCGCCTCATTGCTGCCCACACATTGGTAGCTGCCCGCGTGGTCAACTGTCACGTTGGCAATGACCAGACTGGAGAGGGTCAAGGTCACACCGAGCGATGATTTTTTTGATAAACTTACATCAACGCCATCTGTGAAGTTGAAAAAAAAAGTGAATAACATTAATTTAGTAAAAAACATTGAGTAAAAAAAAGTTTTGTTTGTTTTAGAAGAGGTTTTACGGCGCTCACAACTGCATAAGGTCATATGAGCGCTAGAAGATTAGAGGTGTTACAAGAGAGTAACAAACATAAAAAAGGAGAATGGGAGATAAGGACGATAGATGTTTCATAGGAAACAAGAAACAAACCACACCAGAGCACCCGTCAAACACCCACAAAAAAAAGTGCATTGACGTTTGTCTGTTTGTTTGTGTAAAGAGATGCACATTGACACTATAATAGTCACACAGTCTTTGTTTTACTTCTTTTTTTTAAATAGTTTTAGTAGAGGTTTTACGCGCTCGCAACTGCACTAGATCTAGGTCATATGAGCGCCATTGCTTTTTTTTTTTTTTTGTTTTTTTTGTTGTTGTTGTTTCATTGTTTCTATATAATTATTTGTTTGAGTAGAGAGATGAACATTGACACTTTAATAGTCATTTATAGCATACTTTTGTTTCATTGTTTGTATATTTGTTTGAGTAGTGTGAAGCACATTGACACTATGACAGTTCTACAGTGCACAGAAAAAGTAAGACAGACAGAAGCAACAGAGGGAAAGAAAAGAAGTAGGACCTACCAGTGGCGTCCTCTAATCATCCAAGCACATTGACAAGACAATAGTCACTATTTAGCACAGTGAAATAATACGACCAAAAAATCAACAGCCGGAAAGAAAAACAATAATAATAACAGATAGCATTTATATAGCGCAAATCCCCGCTCAACAGCAAGCTCTATGCGCTTCACAATCTATACTATTACATGTACCCCGGTAGACCTGAGAACATTCTGAAACAACCTCAACTTCCTGAGAAGCATACAGTGCAAGCCGTCATTTATAGGCGCTAAAACACTAATATACTGACACGATCTTCCGCTTTCTATGGCCGGGTACCCATTGCCACCTGATTGAAGTGAGGAAAATTCATGTAAACTGCCTTTCCCAAGGACACAAAGTCGGGCCCGTGACTCAAACCCCCAAACCAGCAACCTCACGATTACGAGTCCCATAGCCTAACGACTAAGCCATCGACGCCGCAAGAAAAGAGGTAGGATGTGCCAATGCGACCTTCTAACCACTTGTTGTAACTTTTCTAGTAAGTTCCAACCTGCAGTAAGCTTGTAATACACTGGGACTAAAAACCTATGTCGTGGCTACCAGGTGTAAAACATTTTTTACGAGACAACAGAGAATGAGGTGGCATCAGTAGCCTAGTGGTTAGGCTACCGGACTCGTAATTGTGAGATTGCGAGTTCGAGGGTTCGAGCCTCAGCTTGGTCCAACGTTGTGTGCTTGGGAAAGGTATTTTTCCTGTATTTCCAGCTTGGCTCGGTCTTTTTGGAGATGGACTTTAAACCCGGAGGTCCTGCCTCTTAGATAACTTAATTCACTAATAGTGTGGACAGCGGCATTAAACCCATACCATTTCACCATTTTTTTTCAGAGAGTGTAACTTACTGTGATACCAGCGAATGTCAGGGACCGGGTCCCCAACGATTGGACACTCGATGGAGTACGAACGTCCCTCTCTGGCTGTGAGTTGACCAATCGGGTGTAGCGACGCAGGTGGTACTATAAATAGAATAGCAATGACATTTAATAATACATTTTTGTTTTTTGTTTTTTGTTTTTTAGTAAGTTTACGGCATTTGCAACACAATAAGGTCATATAAGTACCAAAGCTTAGAGGTGGTACAAGAGAGTAACAACCACAAAATGGAAGGAGGAGAGATAAGGACGATAGGTGTTTGATAGGAAATAAAAAGCAAACCACACCAGAGCACCCGCCAACCACCTACAAAGTTACTTCTTCTAAAATTAAAAAACACTGGTATTTTTATGATGTTCGTTACGTAGAAGGAAACAACCTTCAGACAAAGAAAGAAATATGAAAAATAAAAATTTTTTCAAGGAGTGAGGTAATTAAACAATTTCCTTCTAATGAATAACAGGGGAAATTAGAGCTTATATTGGCTGAGAGAGAGAGAGAGAGGGAGAGAGAGAGAGAGAGGGAGGGAGAGAGAGAGAGGGAGAGAGAGAGGGAGGGAGAGAGAGAGAGGGAGAGAGAGAGGGAGAGAGAGAGAGAGAAAGACAGAGAGACAGAGACGAAAAAGAGAGAAAGAGAAACAGAGACAGAGACAGAGGGAGAGAGACAGAGACAGAGACAGAGACAGAGACAGAGACAGAGACAGAGACAGAGACAGAGACAGAGGGAGAGAGAGGTGATTAAGTAAAATACTAAGGCAACTTTCCCTACCACTCCAAAAGCACTTTAAAAAAATATACTTTTATCAGAATTGTAGAAATGTATTAGACATTTTGTCTGACCATTTGAATAAAGAGTAAAAAGAAGCACATCGCCTTAGTAATGGCCATTAAGTGATGGGAGACAGACAGACAGACAGACAGACAGACAGACAGACAGACAGACAGACAGACAGATAGAATTAACAGTGGGAAAGTAAGGAAGCATGACCTTACAGTGACGCCCTTCAACAACCCACAGACAGGATAATATAATACATCCATCAAACTTACCAATCACAACAACAGATGCATTCCCTGCGGCATTTCCATATCTATTTTTAGATACACAAGTGAACTGGCCTTCCCAAGCTTTGCCCATGTCATTTACAAAAAGTTCTTGACCACGGTTCCTGAAAAAAAGACAGTTCACGTTTCTGACAAAAATGATATTATCAAACAAACTGTAGTTGGAAGTGTTTGACTGATTTCAAATTTAATCTCGCTCACTGAATGATAGTGATAGCACAATGTTTTACATGCAGTTGACACAATTATGAGAATTTGAGAACAAACACACACACACAGACACACACACACACACACACACACACACACACACACACACACACAGACACACAGACACACACACATACTCATACACACTCACGCACACACAACAACAACAACAAACACACACTTCACTCACACAATAGACAGTTTATCAGAGGGAGGCACAGACAGTCCCTGGAAGATTACACACAAACACACACACAACAACAACAACAGCAACAACAGCAACAAACAGTTCCCCACTCACACAATACACAGTTTTTCGTTTTAGTAAGTGTTTTACGGCAATTGCAACACAGTAAGGTCATAGAAGTGCTGAAGATTAGAGGTGTTGCAAGAGAGTAACAAACACAAAAAAGAAGGAGCAGAGATAAGGACGATAGAGATGTTTGATAGGAAAAAAGAAGCAAACCACACCAGAGCACCCGCCAACTACACACACAATAGACAGTTTATCGGAGGGAGGCATAGGCAGTCCTTAGAAGAACACACACACACAAACACACACACAACACACACACACACACACAGACACACAAACTTCCACAACCCCCCTCCCACACACACACACACAAACAAACAGTCCCCCACTCTCACAATAGACAGCTTATCGGAGGGAGGCACGGGCAGTCCCTGGAAGAACACAGCACACACACACACACACACACACACACACACACACACACACACATACACACACACACACACACACACACAATTCCCCACTCACACAATAGACAGTTTATCGGAGGGAGGAACGGGCAGACCCTGGAAGAGCCAGCTGGTCACAGGTTCTGGGTCAGCCTCCACCAGACAGCTCAGATGTAGCGAGTCACCTTTGGTCACTTTGGTGCTTACCGGTGGCTGCAGCATGATGGGAGGACCTGTGGGAAAAGAGCAGTGAAAGATATGCTCCTTTTTCTTTTTCTTTCTGTCTTTCTCTTTTGTTTTGTTATTTTTTACCCTACCCATTTCTATTAGAAAAAGAAAAAAACCTCCGAAAAACAGACAATTACAAAAAATAAAACAAGAAAAAGGGGGGGGGGGGGAATGAAACAAAAAAGGGGAAAAAAAACAGAAGCATATCAAGAGAAAGAAAAATTAGTTCTGCGAGAAAAAAATTTCAGAGATGCCGTCTGCGGAGGAGAATGGATACAACGTGATTTAGATAATGATGCCGATAATGATGACGATAATGAAGAAAATATTGATTATAAACACAATGATGAAGACAATGATGAAGTTAATTATAAAGAAAATGATGAGGATAAAGATAAGGATAATGACGAAACAGATGATGAAAATGATGAAAGTACTGGAGGAGATAATCAAGTAAATAATGCTGGAGATAATGACAAAGACACTGGTAAAGAAAATTATGAAGATAGAGGCATAGACAGTGATAAAGAAAACAATAAAGATAGTGACACAGACAGTTTGGGGGGGGGGGTTGGGAAAGTGTTTTTAGGGGTTCGCAACCGCATAAGGTCATATGAGTGCGCAGGACACATTAAACTTTTTCAGTTGGTAGGAAATTTTGCCTGGGTGGCTGCCGAAGTCTACTCTTATCGATTTTAGACCACCAAGGGATCTTTAACGTGCACAACTTGCACATGGGCCCTACGTGACACAGACAGGTTTGGTTTTTTTTTGGAAAGTGTTTTTAGGGGTTCGCAACGGCATAATGTCATATGAGTGCACAGGACACAGTTGGTAGGAAATTTTGCCTGGGTGGCTGCCGAAGCCTACTTTTATCGACTTTAGACCACCAAGGGATCTTTAACGTGTGCAACTTGCACATGGGCCCTACGAGATTTTTCGCTCTTGTCCGAGAAGACTAGGTGTAGATCTTTCCTACCAGAACATCAGGGGTGTGGCTGAAAGACAGCAGTAAGAAGGAGCCAAGGAGTAGCAGTAGAAGGGCTGCAGAAAGAGTCAGGAGCCCAGAGGAGGGGGCAAAGGAGGTGAGGGGGTGGGGGCAGAAAGAGGAAACCAAAGCAAACAACAGAGCATTGTTAGAGAGCAGAAAAGGAGGAGAAAGGAGACAATTTTTAGAGATGACAAATTTTTCGGTTGCTATCCGGATTCGAACCCCGGACCTTTGAAGGAGAGGCCAACACTTTAACCTCTAGGCCACGAGAGCCCCCACACAAACAGTGATAAAGAAATTGATGAAGATAGTGACATAGACAATGACGAAAAATAAACAACACATCTCACCCTCCAGCCTCACTGTCGCAATCAGCGAGGTCCGTGTGGACGGGGTCGTCAAGTTATTCACCGCCACACAGTAGTAAACCCCGTTGTCCGACTTCCTCACAGAGAGGAGATGGAGGTCATGGTCGACGACCTTGACATTTGTGAGCGAGAGGTCAAGGACCTTGTAGTTCTTGTACCACACGACCGAGGCCGGGGGCAGGCTTTTGGGCGGCTGGCAGGGAAGCACAACGTCTTGCCCGTAATATGCAAATGTGTCGGACGGATGGCGGAGAAAATCTGTGCGAAGGTCTGTAAAGTAAGTAAGTAAGTAAGTAAGTAAGTTAGTAAGTAAGTAAGTAAGTAAGTAAGTAAGTAAGTAAGTAAGTAAGTAAGTAAGTAAGTAAGTAAGTAAGTAAGTAAGTAAGTAAGTAAGTAAGTAAGTAAGTAAGTAAGTAAGTAAGTAAGTAAGTAAGTAAGTAAGTAAGGAAGGAAGGAAGGAAGGAAGGAAGGAAGTAAGGAAGTAAGGAAGTAAGCAAGTAAGCAAGTAAGCAAGTAAGTAAGTAAGTAAGTAAGTAAGTAAGTAAGGAAGGAAGGAAGGAAGGAAGGAAGGAAGGAAGGAAGGAAGGAAGGAAGGAAGGAAGGAAGTAAGTAAGTAAGCAAGCAAGTAAGTAAGTAAGTAAGTAAGTAAGTAAGTAAGTAAGTAAGTAAGTAAGCAATCAAGCAAGCAAGCAAGTAAGTAAGTAAGTAAGTAAGCAAGTAAGTAAGTCTATTCAGTGTTTAAGGCCATTGCTCCACATCACATGACATAAAACACTCATTTGATAAGTAAACTCTCCATAATGAATAAGTACAGGTTGTGAACATATCTCTTATCATGCATGGGTCAAACACTGCATATTTCTGTCACTGGGCCGAGTCAGGCTGGGAGGGATTAACAATTTCCATTGATGGACAAAGTGTGAACAATAGAAAATAAAGTGAATTTCATCTTTAATTTCATGAGAGTTACACCTATCACATAAGGTAGGTCTGTAAAAAAAGACAGAGAGGCAAAATGCTCAAATGTGAGGCATTCTGACAAAAGGAGTTATATCTCAGATTTTATCCCGATGGAAATAGATGCGTCATATTTATAGGTTGGGTTTTATAGCAATCTATTAGGATGAAATGATAAAAGACATGTTAATCAAACTTGAAGAGAATGGCGTTGGTTTAGAATCTACAAATATGACCATTTTGTCAATTTTAGGCAGATATCTCCATTCTTTGATTACGAGAAGTAACTCATTTTGTCAGCATGCCTCACAAATTCTCTAAGTAAGGCATAAACAATCATGGTTTGCCACTCACTTCTCTGTGGCAAGATACTCTAAAAAATAAGCCTGTTTAATTTCAGTCTTTTTCCCATCACCCGTGACTAATTTTTTCAGAGAATTTTTTAATACATATTATACATATATAAATACATGCGTAATATCATGTTGTTGTTTTTTTAAGCCTCATTTTTTTATGTGATATTTTTTTTAATGTTATGCGCGGTGAGCATATTTTAGAAAATGAAAATGTGCCGCATCAATGCTATGTATGTAGTAGTAGTGGTGGTCGTCGTCTCGTCATAGTAGTACTAGTAGTGGTAGTAAGTTGCTCTTTGTCTATCTCTGTCTCTTTTGCCTTTTAGTTTCCCAGAAAGGAAAAGATGCCCTAGGCCTTCATATACATTCAAGTCTCTAAGAAGTTGCATCTGCCTATTCTCTTCCTAATTCAACACTCATGGTAGTGAGCAGCCCAGAAGGGCTCTCTCCAGCACTTCATTTGATTTATAATAAAACTTGCATTCATATAGCGCATACCCAAGCTCTTTTAGTTTTAGTAAGAATTTTACGGCACTTGCAGCATAATAAGGTCATATAAGTGCTGAAGATTAGAGGAGTTTCAAGAGAGTAACAAACACAAAAAAGAAGGAGGAGAGATCAGGACGATAGATGTCTGATTGGAAAAAAGAAAGAGCAAACCACACGACAGCACCCGCCAACCACCCACCACCCTCGCTCAACAGCATGCTCTATGGGCTTTACAACCATCATTAGGCCTGCAGTTTGTTTTTCTTTTTTGGTCTGGTGTAAAAAGTACCAAAGCGGACTTCAGCGGATTGCTTGTCACACTGACAATATCAATCAGCTCTCTAAATATCAGTTTAGTTTTACTTAGTGTTTTACTGCACTTGGAACACAATAAGGTCATATAAGTGCCGAGGATTAGAGGAGTCACAAGAGAGTAACAAACACAAAAAAGAAGGAGGGGAGACAAAGACGATAGATGTTTGATAACAAAGAAGAAGCAAACCACACCAGAGCTCCCGCCAACCACTCACTCTCTAAATATCAGAAAGTACTATATAAAGCAGACATAAAGAACAAAAAAAACAGAAGTTACTAAAACTTTCTTCTCCAAAGTTTCAGAGGGGAAATGTCAAGAAAGAAGTACAAAAAATTGAGAAAGACAAAGAAAAAGCAACAGAAACTCACAAGAGACTTTCATCTCGAGCACAGGCGACTCAGACGTGCCCTTTGAGTTGGAAGCTGTGCAGAAATATGTCCCGGCATCATCCTCCACGATGGGGAAAAACGCCAGGCTGTCATTGGCTAGAATGTACACTCGTCTTGACTCGTCAACGGGGTACCGACCGAAATACCACGAGATTTTCGCGGGCTCGGTCGAGGCCACGCTCCTACAAGGCAAGACGAGATATTTGCCCTCTGACACGACCAGCACGGGTGGCAGCTCCCACTCAATCTCCGGCACAGAGCTGCTCGGGGTGTCTGAAACCAACAGAGGAAAAAAAACAGGGTGAAATGGTTGAGGATTAACGTCCCCTATCAACACTGTTAGGTTATTTAACACTTTTCTATCACACAGAATATTCTATATCATAAAACTTTACATCATAGACTTGAGATTTACTTTTAACTGAAGTAAAAAAAAAATATAAAAAAACATCTACGCAAAAATGGCCATTTAGTACTGGACAAAAGTGAGACAGGCAGACAGAAGCCGAAGGGGAAGAAAAGAACAACTTATCAGTTTTTTTATTTTTATATTTTTTATTTTATCTGCCGCTTATACCCTTTTGGGTGTGGCAAACTTATCAGTGGCACCCTCCAATCTCCCACAATCTTCGGCATATCACTACAATCTTGGAACATCCACACTAACTCTATATCACCTGAACACTCTAACATAACACCCAGTGCGCATTGCAGAAAGTTTCATCAAATCCCTATTTGAAATGGGTTGAAACTTTGAGGACAGCTAAATTGGCCTATAAGGAGCAGCAAAAGCTACCATTCTAGCAAAATTTGACGAAATTTTTCAAAATTAAATATATGCACTATTTTCCAGTCCCGATAGGGTCCAGTTTGATGAAAACAGCAAATTAAACTTAACACTGCGGGTTTCAGTTTATTTGCTTAAACGGGAATGCCAAAAGCCCTATAGGAATTCAGGGCTAATTATGATGGAGCAAGGCAGAGGTCAATTAGATATGAAGTGCACTGGCAAGCACCATCTCTTTAACGCTATCCATACGTCGCGTTTTACTATCGTATCCATATGACGTGGGGAACTCTGTGCCACCACTTTCAAAAGACAAAACTTACTCGTTAATCCGATTCCTACACTCTGCATAGCAGTCTGTCAAAATGATTTTTTGAGAAATACTGAAAGTTTTAAAGAGATCTTTGTACTAGAAGTAGTCTAAAATGTGAAGAATACAACCCCGGGGGTACAAAGTGACCCAGGGCGTATGGATAGGGTTAATCTATTTTGTAAATGTATGTGCCCTTATGCCCCCACTGACAATTAGATCATTTAGGAGGCGGGCTTCAACCCCGTCAATCAAGGCTAACCCGAACTGAAAAGGATACAGCATCCTAGCAGAAAGACTGAGATACTCGATTAAAAATGTTCCCCACTTCGGAATTGATCTGTGGTCACTTGTGTGCGATAGAGAAGTACCTAACCACTACACCACAGATGCAGCGTGTGTGTGTGCCATCCCTGAAACATCAAGCCATAACAAACCCCACCAAGGCAGGGCTACTGACTGAAGTTGTCTTTACCCAAATAGGGGGGATAGTAACATGTTCTTACACACAGTAGAATTGTAAATGGGCTGATTATCAATGCCAAGCTCATACTGTGCCGGAGGAACGTAGGAGGAACTGCTGCTTTTTCTTTCCTCATCCTTACTATCGTCATTTCCTCTACTTCTTTTGTATGTTTGTCACTCCCATGTGAACTACTATTTCCGGGGTGCCTTGATAGTCGAAGCACACTTTGTGCTGCTGAGGCTAGAGACGTGAGCAGAGTAAGCTTGATTCCCCGTTTGGACTTCTCTGTTGACTTCCACCCCTTGGCGCTCATACTCATATGATGTATGTAGCTGCAAGTGCCGTAAAACCTTACTAAAACAAAACAAAACCACATCAAACGGGAATTTGAAGGAAAGCTTCTGCAATGCGCCCCGGCGGGTATAACATTACAATCGTAAGTGATGTTGGCCGCCCCACTCATGACTTGCGCCCCCAGCTCTGAGTTGAAAGCCGCACACTCGTACTGGCCGAAGGTGGCGTCTGATACACTTAGCGCGAGTCTGAGCGACGTCTGGTGAGACAGTCCGGTCCTGTCGTAGTCGCCGAAGGCAGCCGTCATCCGGTCACCCCCGAGGAACACTTCACCGTCCATGAGCCAGAAGACCTGTTTGTGTGG